GGAAGTGTGGAACGGCACAGGCTGGATTCAGCCCACCAGATTTTAGGCACCTGAGCTGTTTCACGCTCACAGAGGTACCTGGGAGCTTGCCTGGGCTGTATGGTGAATACTGGGCTTGTCTGGGGGGTCTTCCATCCAGCCAAGCCCAACAGGAATCAGCAGACGTGACAGACCGATACACCTGCTAATCTAAGTCCCAAAATCTCCTGGAATAAGGGGAATAATATATTGGTGAAACAGCCTGCACAGTCCTGGAGAGTGAACACAAACATGAGTCTCTAGGAAGAGCCATAAAAAACCTGTATTATCATTGGGACCAGGAAATAAAAACGGCATCAAGGTCTATCAAGTCCTCTGCACGCACACACACACACACACACGCACACACACACTGAACTTCTGGGTGCCTTTCTATGAAGCTCCTATTTCTAGCGGTGATCACTTTTGCGTTTCAAGCCATATGGCACCATCATTCCAGAAGGAGAGCATTTTGTCTTGAAATCTGCTAGCTAGAAAATCTGCTGCATCCTGACAGAAGTGCAGCACTGCCAGCTATTCACAGGGGAAAAAAAGAAAAGTCATTAAAAGAAATGAAGAACTGGGTTAAAATTGATCAGACATCCAATTTTCACTGAAACTCCCAGGAAGGGGAAAATGACCCTTGCATGTACCTTCCCCAAACTGTTTTTGTTAATCGATGAACTTTCATTTCTGTGGGAAACCTGATACAACACAGCCACATTCCCAAATTTAGCAGGAGAATCTACTGCAGGGGATCTCCTGCAGGCAGAACAGTAACCAACTCCCTTTGGGGTCACTGGTTGTGCTAGAAATTACTGTATTCCTGCACGCTGGCAGAAGCATCATTCCATGCCCAGTAATCACTGAGAAGTCTAGAAACACACTGCTCTCCAGTGGAACTGGAACACCCGAGGCACTTTTCAGAGCACACAGCATGAAGCAATGCCACACTTTTCATACAGGAAAAAGAATCCTTCTTTAATGGTCTGCCTACAGAATTTCCTCATCCTTAACTGCCTCCGTGCAATGCCCCAGCAGCTTAATGCTGCCTTCCAGAGCTCTCTGGGCCTGCTTGGAGCAGAATGACATAACGGGGTGCAAATGTAGGTGCTCCAACCTACCTCCTTCCCTCCCGCAGTTAGCACTGGCTATGTGGAGCCTCCAAAAGCGGCAGTAAGTGAAAGGCTATTTTGATTGCTGCCACAAAGGGCGATTAGTCACCAGCAAAGGTCAGCAAATCTGTGGTCAGCAAAGGAAACCAAGCAGGCAATCATTCACTGCAAGCATAATGCCCAGCTGCAAGGAATTTGTGGTTTGGAGCAGGCAGCACAACCTGGGGAGAACGCTTTGGAAGGGGACTGGGGAGGACTGAGGGTGAAGGTCAGCGGGCTGCACCCACTGCCTGCCCACAGCTCCGTGCTGACAGGTGCAGCCCTCCCGCTATGCCTGGCATCCCGCTGCCAGGGGGCAGGTGCAGTAACAGCACGGTAACAACCCTGCCCTACCACAGCAGCACCGCCTCGTTGTGCTTATATGCAGGACTTTGGACCATGGCTCATTTCCAGCACAACCACAGGAGGCTCTCTTTGTGTAGGCTTTTTTTTTTTTTTTAAAAAAAACGAACTCACAGAGACTTGGAAGTGTTTATTAAACCCTTTCTTCCTTGTTCTGCAATTCATTGCCATTGTTTGGAGATACACCTAAAGCTCAAGGTCTCCCAGGAAGACCTTGGGAGACCTAAGGAGGGCTGGCCTGCAGCAATGTTCTCTTTCTGTAAATAACTGCAGCAATCAAGGTTAAACTCTCTGTGGTTGAATTGATTCTAATCTGAACTAAGAAAGGGAGTATGTGCTCTAAGTGCCAACACGAAAAGCTCTGCTGACCTGGAGCCCTCTGGGGATTCCCTGGGACATGATCCCAAGCAGCAGAGCACCTACTTATTGTGTGAGGTGGTTTGGCTGAAAAAGAGCTACATGAAAGACTATTACAGCCCCTCACTTATTGATTTCTATTGTTGTGTTAGCAGCTTACAAAGATCTTCATCGCAAGATAGTCAACGCCTCCTCCTGCTCTGGGCTCTCCCTTCCACACCTGTACAACTACAGCCAGACCGGCAGTCTGTACATTAAGCTGAGAAGAATCTCGTTTTGCAGCCGTTTGCATTCCTCTAAGTCCCAGGGTCTGTCAGCAGGGGGTGCTTCACGGCAGCCTTTGGCAGGCAGCACTGGTGCAGGCAGGGACATTCATCCACTTCTCGGGAAGATTAACGCACTTGTGTGGGACTTACCTTGCTCCTGGCGCCACACATAGCACAGCAGCTCATTAACTCCAAACAGCTACATAAAGAAATCATCCCCCCGACAATGCTGCCTACCCTGTACCACACATGCCTGAGCCTCAGCTCACCGTTTCCAGAATAAACTTACCCAGCCCGGTGTCAGCTTCTGGAGAGCTTCCTCCTTGGTACAGGAACAGGAAAGCTTACCTACAAACTTACGACTTTCCTTTGGCTTAAAACACTGCTGTCATTTGAAAGAACAAACTTGGATCCCACAAGCAAAGCTAAAATAAACAGGTTTTAGAGAAAGGTTTTAATTAACGACCTGCGTGTTGGCAGGAATAAATTGAAGAGCATTCCGGGAACTTCTTCCAGATGACTCCGGTGTTGCAGGCACATGTCCCCAGAGCAAGTCGGAACTGTCTGACCCCAGGCTGTGCATTGATTAATGACCTGTTTTTCCACTGCTTCTTAGTAGCATTAGATCTCAATCAAGACCAACTGATAGCCCCCTCCTGCTTTGAACTCACCTCAGAATTCCACTGAACACATTATCTTCTCCAGCCCATGCCCTACAGCTAGAAAATGTGTCTCTGTCAGCTCCCTGAGTTTTCAGCTATACACTCACAGCCGCCCTTGGTCTCATCCTGGTGCAAAACGGACGGCGCCATGAAGGTGATTCACTGTGCTGGGAGGTGGGATGAAATGAACTCATGGATCTACACAGGACAATGTTTTCTTCAGAGTGGTAAAAGGTGCAAAATTCCCACCCTGGTGATCCCCGTCAGGATGGCAATTACTACTCCTGCAGTAAGTTTAGTGAAGGATGGAGCATGCTCTGCCCGTTTTGGCAGCTCAGCAGCAGTCAGCCCATGCTATGCAGGGTCCTGCTGGCTACATCACCAGGATGCTACGGGAAGACTCCAGGCCTACAAGCAGCACTGAGCACTGTTTGGTTTAGTATGGCACACAGTTTTTAGGAACTGCTTTTGTTCCCACTATGCCTCCTGCAACTGGTCCAAAACTGAGGCCTTGGACACTATTAAAAAAAAAAAAAAAAAGAAAAAAAAGTCTTCTCCGGCTGCTTTCTCAGCATGCCATCTCAGTTCATTCAAACAGCAGCTATCACTCCAGCTCAGCAGCCGAAATCCAGTCACACAAGACTTGAGAAACATTTCCCCTCTTACTCCGCAGTAACCTGGATGACAGCTCCAACTTTCCCAGGAAAAACCTGGGCTGAAATCGTGAAGTAACTGTTTGGTCACATCAGCGTGCAGTGACACAGACAGATGTAACGACCACTGAGAACACCCTGAATTATTCTACCACCACTGGTGGGTTTTGAATCCCTTGTAGGCATAAACATAACTTCATAATAATTAAGGAGCATGGAAGCATGAAATTTGGTTTCTTTCTTCTGAAGATGCAGGAGATTATTTTAATAATTCTTACGCAGTATCACCAATAGAAAGCTCTTGTTCAGTGGTTTAATATAAAGCCTTTTAATATCTGCTTCAGCAATAAAATCTCTGCTTTCTTTACTATAAATGTACTAATCTCACCAGAAGATACAAATTAAACAGTGGAATGAAGCAGAATAAAAACATGTAGCAGGGACCAAACATCCTTTTCAAACAGGGACCTGCTCTGAACTCTGTAGTCTGTTCAATCAGATTAGACCCAAGCAACAATTTAAATCTCATCTCCACCCCTCAATATGAAGAGCAGAAAATATTCATTCACCCTTTCCTGGATGACTGGGAACAGAGATGGAGAGAGAGGAGCAGAACCAAAAAGAGTAGTAACAGAGCACAGGAATGGCAGGATGTATCAAACAGAGGGCACCAAATAAAGGAGAGCGTAGAACTGCCTTGGCAAACTGTGTGTGTCCCTGTCTGCCCCTAAACCTTGCTGTTGGAGAGCAAGGTACAGAAAGAAATGATTCGATGGATTTAAAACAAACAAAAAGGGTGTGGTCTGGAAAGACAATGAAAATACATCTTAAAGATTTGTGAAGCTACTGACTGCTTAGAACACATTTCTAGGGGGGCTAACTGGCCGAGTTATTTTGGCCTGAACTCAGTATCAATTAAGAAAGACTCACTTGCATTACAAATCGCATTAGCTCTGATAATTGATGGTAAGTTGTACAAACACCTGCGAGGGATCTCAAAGCCATATTCAGACATGGTTTGAAGTCTACTGTATAGGCTGGTGCATCACATTCTCAACGTAAGGGCTGCACCTATGTGTTATGGAACAAGATACTGTATTTCCTAGATAAATAGCTTCAATCTATTGAAGGGTTTTTGTTCGTTTTTGACATAACACATTTTTAAAAGAAAAGGTCCAGCCACACTTAGAAGTGCAACTCACGTTTACGTTGAAGACTAGTAAGTGCCATTGCCATCACCACGCTGATCACCATAAGGATGTGAAAGAACATATGGCAGCTCTAAATGAAGAAATGAAGATTCACATAATGGAAGCCTGCTGGTTAAGTGATGAAGTAAAGTTAAGTGAACATTGTTGGCACTGCAAATAAAAGCAGAATCACTATTGGCAACTACAGACCAGTGTCTGGAATTACAAATAATCTCCCAACAACAACAAAGGTAAGAAGATTGAAAAAAAAGACCCACAAAAACCAAATACAAGTATTTTCTATAACTGTGTGAGAAGATCACCCTAAAGGTAGGAATCAATTCCAGTATTTAATAAAAAGCAATTTGCAAGTAACACAACAGCTTTATTTCCACCTAACAAGTAATTGCTGTGAGCATATTAGTAATACCACACGTAAGAATACAGTTCAAGATCTACACAATAAAAGTGTGGGGGGGGTTGCTTTGTTTTTTTTTTTTTTTTAAAAGCAAGAGTTTACTGGTTTTGCAAAAGCATGGAGAACACTTCAGGCAACAGTTGTTTTCTCCCAGGTAAAGTTCTCATGGATCTTCAAGAGTAGGCTAGAGAATTTAAAAGAAAAAGGCTAAGAAATACTTCAGGCAGTCCTTTCTGAAGCAAGCGAAGTGTTATTTTAGGAAATAATATTTTGGAAGAAAGGTTCCGTCACGAAACACTTCCAATCGCAATATGCACAGAAGTACAATATGTACTACATAAGAGTTGTGTTTTCCATACACGAAGAGCAAAGTCGTCTTCCTTCATTACGACTTCTGAGGTTTTGCTTCTGGTTTCTCATCTATCAGATCTTTAAATCCCAATTTTTCCAGTGGTTCATTAGCCATAAGTTGCCTAAGTTAAAAATAACAAAACAAAAACGTTTCGCAGAACATGGTCTAAAACAAGGAAAATAACAGCATTTTCTATTTTACTTAATGTTATTTCCTGTAAAGAAACCCAAGACATCTGTAGAGTGACTGTCACTTGGCAAAGCCTCGGGAACTTCACTTTGGGGAAAGCAACACATATATAAAAAAATATACTCTCACACACACACAACTGGAAAACTGCTGTTAAAATGTGTGTATTGTCTTCTGTTATTAGATAATGAAAGTTTTCTCAGAGGCTGACCTGACTTTTGATTAACTTAATTAACAGACTGCATAAGAGCTTACTAATATTCTACTTGTGTCATTTACTGCATTTTTAAGTGAACATGGTTTACAACATCGGTGGTGCCGTTACACTTTGCTGCTGTGCTTTTCCCACTGTTTGGATACGCAGCCTCACCACTGACCATGTAACACTTGGGAGCGCCCAGGTATCTCAGCACCCTTAACAACACCCCATCCGTTTCCCGCAGGGTGTGCCCAGCCTCACCACAGGTCAGAACCCACTGCACATCAATGCCAGAACGGCGACACCCCTACAAAAACCAAAGGGCGCCGCGGAGGGGCCGGGGGGAAGGGGGAGCCCCCCGGTACTTGCCTCTCCATGCGGCACTGCAGGTAGGCCATGGAGAGCTCTCGGCAGGCGCCGCTCTGGAAGTCGTTGCGGCGGAGGCACTCCATGAAGCGCTCCTTGGAGGCGCTGCACTCCCCTGCAACACAGCCGCGGCCGCGCTCACTGCGGGCCCGGGGCGGCGGGGCCAGGCCCGAGGCCCGGCGCTAGGCCGCGGTGGGGGGGGGGGGGAGAAGGCCTGAGGCCCGTGGCTAGGCCGCGCGGGGAGGGCGGGCCCGCCCTACCGCACCGAAATGGTCCAAGGGGAAGGCGCCTTTGTCCGGGGGGCGAGGCTTGAAGTTCTTGGCCCCGAAGTTCATGGCGGTGGACATGGTGCGAGCAGGACGGGGACGGGGACAAGAACCGGGACCGGGAGCGGGCCCGGCCTGCGCCGCCGGGGATCGCCGAGCGCATCGAGCGCACCACGTGACCGCCGAGGGCGGTCCCCCCGTTGCTATGGAAACGGCATCGCCATGGCAACCGCGCGGTCGTCATGGAGAGCGTGCCGCCGCCGCCGCCATGTTGGCTGCCGCCCCCCCCCCCCCCCATAGGGAGGGGAGGGAAGGCCGGAGGTGCTCCCTGCTGCCTGGGCCTGAGGCAGCTCAGTGGAATAAAGTGTTTTGTTCTCCTAAAGGCGTTGTTGGTGTCATAATTTGCCCACAGATGGGGAGGGTGGGAGTGCTGGTCATGGGGAAGCTGCCTACAGAGGGTGGAGGGTGGGGATGGTTTCTCTTAAAATGTGTTTGTGTATTTGTAAACAAATGGGAAAAGAGCAAAACGCTGAGACCAGCATCAGCACATGTGTATATGGGGGAACCAGTACCCCTGCTCTCACCTATGAGCCGCCTCAGCTAGGTCTGGCTGAGACAGGACCCCAGGTGGGACATGCCTCACACACCACAGCCATGTAAAATTCCCTTTTCAGGACCCCTCATCGCTGGTGGGGTGAGCCCAGAGCCTCAGGATCCACACATTGGGCTAAGGCCGTGTAAGCTTTTCTTCAATTCAGCAGAATTTCAAATGAGCCATCCCAGTCCCGCTGCAGTGATGCAAGCTTCGACATCAGCCCCCCAGCAGCAATGGGCCTGCTGATCCCTCATTAATCCTCACAGTTAATGACCCGAGTAAGGGTAGCCCAGCAAAAACCTCATGGGCAGCACCACGTTATTTTACGCCTCCTACTGGCAAGGGGCAGGCAGGCAGCTTACCATGACGAGGCCAGTAAAACCAGGTGGTCATCTGCAGATGCAAACTTGCAGGTGTTCACAAGATAACCAAGGAAAACGCTGTTTTGCCCATAGGTCTCCAGCATGCTCTCTGAAACTCCTCAGATCTCATCCTGAAAGGAGAATGAGAAATGGTATTAATTTAACCCACCTGAGTATTAACTGTGGATTATGCTGTTGCAGTCTTTTTTCTTCTTTGCCCATAGCTGCAATTGGTTTAAGATGGTCTTTCATCATTTTAAAGTTGATTTTCTTTTAATTAAATGACTGAGATAAGTAGAAATAATGTGAAGCTAGGGGAGAAAAAAAGAAACAGCTGCAAATGTAAGGGACAACCACTATGAAAATGTTACCTGCAGCACCATTTAAAGTGCTGTTTGTTTATGCTTTGATTGCTTTCTTATTACAGTATTTGAAATTGTAAATGGAAAATTACACCTTGTTCTATTACATAAGCAACTGGTTTACACAGCCTGAAATATGAGGTTTTATTTATTATTGGGTTTTCAAGCCTATGAACAATGGATGTTTTTTATTATATGGTAAATAGCACTTTTCCACTTGACTTCATTATAACAGTTAACAGTAAAAAGGAGATACTCCTCTTTCATAAAGACATGCAACAAACTCTCAGATCTCAGAGGGCTGAGCAGTAGAGAAGCAACTTTGGTTTATCTTAACAACTTTAATGGAAGTGCCAAGGCATTCAATTTTATCAAATTGCCCCAATTATGTTCCTTAGTATCTGGCACAATGTTTTACTGCTTGATTGCCTGTGTGAGGGAGGAAGAAATCAAAGCAGAAGATATGCTGGGATCCCACAATGGACTTATTCCCTAACAGAGACGAATCTATGCAGAAGCTGTATCAGTGTGCTGTATTATATTACATCCAAATGTTTTGATCACCTATTAATTAACACAGTGTCATTCTTTGGAGTGTTAAGTTTTGTAGTTACCTAAATTCAGGTCAGGTATAGCAGCAGGTATTTGGTTATGATTACTTAACATTTTTACTGCAAATGTCAGTTGTATCTTCTAGAATTTCCTTTAAAGGCCCAGTGTGTCTTAGAATCTAATACAAGTGCTTCAGAAGTTTAGTGTGTATTTTTTTCCCAAGGAGATCAAATAAAACCTCCATTAGATAATCCTTGTTAAGAAAAAAAAATCTCATTTGCAGATTAAGCCAACCAGTTCCAAAAGAATTTGGTGCCAAGAAGAGCAGTGTCACTAACAGGAATTAAATGCTTTTCACACATTGTCTTTCAAAGAAGCGAGAGACTTTCACGGTACTGGGGAAATCTGAAATAGCTGGTCCAGTAAAAAGTTGCCCACTCTACAGGAGAGATCAGACAATTTGTAAAGCCTTGAGTATTTTACAGTATCTCTAGTCCTGAGCCTTTTCCAAAAATAAAATTAGAAGGTTCAGAATTTGTGACTCCCTGAACTAGGAGAAATCTTGGACTTCCCAGTTGCACAGCTTGATAGATACAAAACACATTGGTTTAAAAGTTTGATTAAAAAAAAAATCCTTTGCTTGAATCAGAGCTGTTAGTCATTAATTACGCATTAAAGTAACATTTAAAAAAATTGCTCTTTTACAATGTTGTCAGAACATACTGAAAACTTTTAGCACTATTGGTGCTTATCTGTCAGCTCTACGAATACACCTTCAGATGGGTTTTCTACCCACTTCGCATTACTTTTGGAAGTACCACCTAGAAGTACTACGCCAGAGCAGAAATCAGAATCCCTTTTCCTTGTAGTGAGCAGTACTAAGTCTGGGTCTTCATTTGTTTTCTCCTCCTCACCTTGCTACATCTTTTAAGAGCCTACAGAGCCAAATTAACACATAGTTAATTGGAAAATAATTTATCCACAAGCTGTAAAAGCCTCTGAGTAAAGCAGTAGGCAATTTTGTTGCTCGACTTGGGATAGCTGTAAGAAATGAATCAGTTGAACAAGACCAAGCACATTCAGGCGCTGGAATTTGTGCCCTTGAGACGGCTGTTCCCAGCCCCGGCACAGAACACACCTCAGAGAAACATCCTTCCAGGAGCACTCGCTGCTGCGCCTCACCCTCGCGCCGTGAGCTCGCCGCCAGCTCTTACATAAAATCTCTTGCTACATCACTGCCACAGGCTGTTGTAAACCATTTTTCTCCCTTTTAATTCAGGTTCCTAGACAAGCAAAAATGCAGAATATTGCCAGAGTAGTCTGGGGAATGGGGATTTCTGTTATGGATGACTAATGAAACATTATTGTTTTGCACTTAGAGGGAAATCGGTTTCATGCCAGTAAGGTCAGGGCCTTAATATGCTATGTGCTCTGCAAAGATGTACAGAATGATAGATCGTTTTCTGTAACGATTGAGCCAAAACATAGAGGGGAACGTGGCAGAAACAGAAACACGGTGCTGAAAGCCAAAGCAAACTTCTTCTTATGTTGCTAGCTGCAATTCTGGTATATCTAAATCCACATCTCTATCTGCTTCAAGACAGGGGCCCCAAAAGTAAATGCTGAGGCACTGGCTCTAGAAGAAATTAAAAGAAATCCAGTACAAGTGATTTGTATCAAAATGGCCATAGCAAACATGTATCACTATCCTGTTGTGATCCTACAGAAGTACTGATTTGCAGGATGGGAAGAAGCAGGTGGAATCCAATAAAATACTGCAATAATTATGAAAAAAAATGAAGCGGGTCAAAGTCTATGGCTTTTGATTTTTTTTTTGCACTATCATTGTCAAGGTGAGTGAAGTCCCTTGGCAAGGAGCAGCCTGAGTTTTAACACATCTGAGTCTTTAAAAATGTTAATGTTTAATAGGGTGTGCTCATGCTTTATATATCCCTGATAACAATGCATGGGCTGATAGGCATCTCTCGTGGTTATAAATCTGCTGCAGGGACTTGCGAGGCATACAAGCCCTCAGGTGTTCACTCTCATGGTTTATTATGTTATCAGAACTCATTGACTGAATTATGGCTTTATAATAGCTCTTTCTCTGCTTTTTATCCAACTGTTACTGTAGCATTGTTAACCTGTGTCCCATTAGAAGATTGTATCCAGATTGATTCCAGATGAACACACAGATGAGTGTGGCTGTTTAATGTACAGGCTCCTTTTTCAGGAAGAACCGATTATTTCCCTGAGCTATGCCCATAAAGTCTGCTTACCTGAAGATTGTGCTGGTGGAAAGACAAAGACGTGGGTGGGCAGGGAGTGGAGTTTACTCCCCAATACTGCATGGGGTGCCTCACCCACAAGCCAACAATGCAGTTGGCTGTGCTCAGGATTGCATACTGGAAGCCGAGATCTGTGAGGAAGAGAGATGGAGGTGAGGAAATCACATTAGTGGTGTTTTAAAACTGCCATGATTCCCCTCCACAGAGAACTCATCCATTATTTCCCATAGTGCATGTATCAGTTCAGCCTGCTGCAAATTCATGGCCACATTTCTTGAGAAAGGATGTCACCATCTCTTATCACCAGGTACAACCTGAGCTTTAAGTGGTTTGAAAGCCCTTGGGAAGGTTCTCCTTTCGATGCCAGTAGCCACTTCTACTCCAGAAGAGCAATGGTAGCTGTATGTAAACAGTAAATGGTAAACTCCCTTAATTGGTACCCTTAATTGGTACCCATAGATACCCATTGGTATCTATGTAGGGTTTTTTCCTCACTCTTGCTGTATCTTACAAAGTGTGAAGAGGCCCCCAGTGGTCACACCATTTGCTGAGAGGAGTCTGGCAGAACTGGGTGTTCTTGGAAACGTCTGGGATAAGAGGGCATAGACCAAGACCTTTGTATTTGTGCAGCAGATTTGAGAAGGACCTGATCATCTCTCCTCCTTTGCCCACTCGGCCTAGATCTCTTCTGCCCAGGGTAGGTCCCCCTGTGAGAAAGCTCTCCTCCACCCCTGATAACTAGCTGTGGAGAACAAGCAGACATGCAGGCACCTTTTTCATGTAAATCTAGTTAGAGTTTACTGATTCTTCTTGCCTTCAGCTAATGTACTTTTATTATTATTAATAAATAATTATCATTTTTCCATCAGTGGAGCCTGCACCCAGGAGCCTTGGAGGATTCTAGCAAAAGCATTATTAAAACTGAAGGTTTCTAAAGGGCTGAGCAGCAGCACGGTCCGGTAATCTGACAGAATACACAACTGGGGAGCAGAATATCCCCATCAGAGAATCTGTGATGGAGCATCAAATTGGCTCCTTCCCCCTGAGCTACCATTTAAAACTGTTCAGCACCACCTCTGCTTTGCTGACATCCCCCAAGGATGCAAAGGGTGCGGGTGGCTCTCGGCGAGCTGTCTTGGCAAGCCAGGCACGCTTGCTCTTGCAGACCCTGCCCTGGCATGGAGTCTGAATGACTCAGTGCCCCTGGAGTGCCAAAGCTGCTGCTTCGTGCTCCTCCTGGTTGGCACCCGCTCTGCAAAAGCTGCCCAGGCAGCCTCCTTCTGCCCAGCCTGCTGCGGAGCCTCATCCTGGCTCCCCTCAGCTTTTGAAGGTTCAGGGTCTCTTTCCCAACCTAGCATTGTCTGAAGGGGATGGTCTCTCCTAAAGCATTGCACGTATCTGCTCATAAAAAGGCAGGACGGCTGGAAAGGAGTCACCAAACTAGATGAAGATGGACATCCAAGCACATGAACTCAAAACAGGGACTGGAGTAGTTTCAGGGGCATTTTGGAATTGTCAGCAGAGGACTTGCAGGACAATAATAATGTCTGCAATGAAGACATCGGGTTGCTCAAGCAGGTGATTTTACTGGAATGGCAGAAAAGCAGAGAGCAGCAGAGCTGTCACCTGTAAGCTGACCAGGCCTGGAATCAGCCCATCTTCATGTCAGCTTCATTCCATCTCCTCCTTGGTCAGTCTTGTCTTCTCCAGGGAATGCCTTGCCAGCACCACTCCAGGCAATACCAAGGGCCTTTCCTCCTGCGTCCTGCTTCTTCCAGTGCTTCACCAGTGCCCCAGCTGGGTCCTGTGACATGGCACCATGGCAGCCGTGGGGGAATCCAGCACAGGTCCTGTCCCTTCATTCTGCCCCAGCAGTCACATTGACTACAACATGCCCGTAACACTGGAAAACAAACACCTTGCCCTGGTGTTGTAGATGAAATAGGAGCTCCAGATTAAGATAATCCATGCTTCTCAATAAAATAGGGCGCTTTTTTGGCAAGAAAAGAGTACATGTGGTCTGAATGGACGTAAACAAGACACGAGAGCCCTTTTCTCCATGTAAAGCCACTTCCCCACAAGGTGTGTTCAGGCGATGACAGAAGGGCTATAAAGGAAGCCCCAAGATGCTCCTACCTACATTTTGACCTAGACATGGCCATAATGAGTCTGCTGCAATGCATGGGTGCTAGCTCGCTGCTCTATTTGGCAGCAGGGCTGGTCACTCTCCTTTACTTTCTGACCAGCTTGAAGAAGACGGTTTGCAACTTGCCTCCTGGGCCGCGACCTCTTCCTCTGATTGGAAACTTGAACGTGGTGGACCTGAAAAAGCCGTTCCAGTCGCTGACAGAGGTAGGGTGTGAGCAAGCAGGCAGCAGGGAAAGGAGCAATTCCCAAAGTTAGAAACGCAGCTGGGGAAATTGAGATGAGTTTGTGTTGTATGGTGGGCAGAAATGAGGTATTTGGTGTATTAGGCAGGCTGGTGGCATGAAACGTTACCTACAGAAGAATACACACACGCAGGCATTTTTATATGTACATCTTAGCCATGCTTCTTCCTATACGCACACACAAGCGTGGGCCTCACCCCTTGCCATCAGCTCCGTCTCGTTGGTGTCTCCAGCCCTTGGAAGGCTGCAGGCAGAAGGCACGAGCTGGGCCAGCCCGCTGACAGATCAGGGCCACTTAATACCAACACGGCTCCCTGCAGACTGACCTCTCCCTCCTGTCTTCAGGAAGGAAGGAAGGAAGGATGTCATCCCTGCAGCAAAGGAAGCAGGGTCATGTGCACTTGTATTTCCCAAGCCAGATACATGCAATGCAAAGCTCAGCTCTGCCTTCCAACCCCTCCCCTGCACGCACACTGGCCAGGGTTATTTAAGAGTTGATGTTTTTGTATGTCTAGGTAAACAGATTGCTTCTTCTTATGCAGCTCCATGGATAATTTTATTTCTAAACATGAAAAAAATACCTACAAATTTTAAGGCCAGCTGCAGTGCTTGTTTCAGAAAGCATCTGCTGTGTCCCCACAGGGAGGCAGGGGCAATTCTGGGGCAATTCAAAAACCATAGATGTGCTTGTGGGGGCCCCTAAGGAAAGGCAGCTATTTTTGGTGGCACTGGGGAATTTATGATACAGATGTCTCTTGAAGGCACCAGGATCACTCCCCCTAAGCTGCCGGACAGCTTCCTTTAGGCTTCCAGGCATGCCATATCCAATCCTTGTGCTGCTGAGAAGAACCAGGGCTGATGCCAGGAAGTACTAATGTAAAGAAATGACCAAAGGCAGGCCGGGAAGCGGCTGTGATGCCCTACCCCCAGACCTGCCGCATGCTCTGTTCGCTGCCAGGGAGGCAAGAACCAGTGCTAATGTTATCTCCCAAGCCGTCAAACAACCGCTTGATGAAAACAAATTCAATTTGTCTGGTGTAATAACAGGAGCTGCTTCTAATCTGAAATTCAATTTTCAGTAGGTATCTAATGCATAGCAAATGGTAACTCAGGCACGTCGGAAACATGAAGACATTTGGAGCGGATGGCTCTCAGTGTGTTCAAACCAAGTCTAAAATACCGAGTGAATTATTAGATTGTCAAAGCCACCCTTCTGTGTGACAGATGACTCATATTTAATTTCCTATAAAAGGCTAGTGCTCCTGTGACATTATCTCCAAGGGTATGCTTCCTGGTTGTATTCAAGTTTCTGGTGGCCAGCAAATAATTTTGCTATGACTCCAACACTACCCACCTTGCAATAATTAGGAACAAGTGCTGTCCTGAAAGAAAGACTTATTGTCTAGCTTTGTTTTTCTAGTGTTTCTGGCTACTGCCCCAAAGCTGTGTGCATACCCTCTTGCCTCAGATCAGTGATATTAAAATAAACAGGCCTGCCTGCCGCAGCATTTGCTAACCAGCCCCTGAACGGTGGTATCACCATGCTGGCTTGTTCCTGCAGAACACCACAGGAATGCAATGGCATTTTATTGACTGCTCAACTGATAGGAGCAGTGATAGCAAACACCTTGTTGTGCAAACAGAGTGCAAGCAGAGATGCTGACAAGTGATAGTTGTTGCTCATTAGCTGCACTACGGCAGCACCTGGAGACTCGAGGCAGGGCTGGGAGGGTCTTTGCGGGCTGGAAGCTAGCTAGGGTGGCTGCTGCTAGCGTTTGGGTCCAGGTTTGGTTCTGAATGAACATATTTATTCACCTCGTCAGCTCTCCAAGACATATGGCAATGTCTTCACTGTGCATTTTGGACCCAGGAAAGCTGTGGTACTGGCTGGATATGAAACCATCAAGGATGCCCTTTTAACTCATGCTGACGAATTTGGAGAGAGAGCTGAAATACCCATATTTAGGAAAATGACACAAGGAAATGGTAAGCGACCTTTCGGATGGTTAGTTTTGTAGCTTGACTATGTTCATTATATTCTCACAGCAGAGAACGTTATCTTCTGATGATTGCCTTTTGTCTACGTAGCCATGTATTGAGCAGCTTTGGTACCAGCATGTAATAAGGCCTTACAAACACATACTAACCACAGATAGCCTAAGGATTTTGCACCTTTATTTTAGGCATAGCATTCAGCCATGGAGAGCTGTGGAAAGTTATGAGAAGATTCACCTTGTCCACACTGAGAGATTTTGGGATGGGAAGGAGAACAATTGAGGTCCGAATCCTTGAGGAACTAAATTCTCTTGTTAAATATTTTGAATCATATCAAGGTGAGTATCAAGAATTTCATCCAGAAACAGAACACATGTCTAGCAGAACAATAAAGATTAATGAAAGTTAAACTTTGAGCAAATGGTATCTCATGGTTAAAGTTCAGCATATGCTTAAGTAGGTTATTAAACTGAGGCCTTAAAACATTGAAACTGAGTTCCCTGCCATGCATTCTGGGTGGTGAATTAGTGTTTTTGTGGAGCTTGGGACTACATTTCCACAGAAACCCAACTGAGCCTCTGCTTCTCTTCCTATTCATTGAATGTGGCATTTTACATTGCACTGTCTGACCATGTCCATGGATGGTCAGCTACCCCAGGGCAAACAGAGCCTGCCCACCCCTACCCCAGCAGGATACTTCTGCATTGCAATGGGCATAATCACATTGCCATTTGTTTGCACTACTTGAAATACAGGGAAACCATTTGACACGAAGATGATACTCAACAACGCTGTATCCAACGTCATCTGCTCTATATTGTTTGGAGAGAGGTTTGAGTACGATGATCCTGCATTTCTAACTTTGCTGAAGCTGTTAAATGAGAATACCAAGCTGTTGGGCTCCCCGATGGTGCTGGTAAGGGCTTGATTTTAAGTTTTAGCTTTTGAGGGGATATTCCACTGTGTTTGTACTCATGGCCTCCCAAGTCTTGCTTCTCGAGGCGAGAACAAGAACATTACCAGCCAGCCAGCCTGTACTGAATACATCTGTGGTCCTGTACCTCCAATACACAGGTTCCCATGCACCTGGGCTTTGTCTTTGCAGCTTATTTAGTAAGAGAAATAAAAATAGTCTTTATTAAAGGAACTATTTTACCCTCTTTGAAGAGCAGAAGCACAATATGTCTCCCATATCAGAGATCGGCCCTGAAATGCCTTCTCAACTCTGCCTCTGAAACTGAAACAATTTGGACAAACTTCTTTCTCTTTTGTTTTGGCCACTGAAACTCAATCTTAGCAAGCTAACAGCTAATATAAGCTGCAAGAAGAGGACATTTGTTAAATTGCTTGCTAGGTCTACTAGTGGACTCCTTGAAGAAGTGCGTACCTCTCATGGGAGGATGGAGGTGAGACCCCCCCCTTCCAGACAGCAAGTATGTCCACATGGCATACCACAGGGCTGTGCTCAGTGCTGCTCTTAGGAATGGTGTAGCTGTGTTAGCATGGTGCTGTGGCTAAGCCAGGTCTCTCAGAAGTCATGGCAAGGACTCATAAAGACATAGAACAAAAAGAGCACACTATTTCTGCAGCAATTCGTAGCTGCTTGGACGGTACAAGTTAAAGTAGAGGAATTATGGCATGAAATGTCAGGACATGGGACAAGGAATCAGCACTATGATTTGAGATGCCTGTGTATGTTCAAAATGCCAATTAACAGACTTCTGTTGCTCCACAGTTATATAATTTCTACCCATCCCTTGGATTTCTCTTTGGAGCTTCCAAGACTGTGCTACAAAATATCAATGAGCTGAACGCTTTCCTCCAGAAGCTCTTCCAAGAGCACAAAGAAGAGTTTAATGAGAATAACTTAACAGGTTTTGTCGATGCCTTTCTGATGAAGCAACAACAGGTACTTTAAAGCTAAGTCTTGTTTTTTTGTGTGTTCTCAGTTCTGACTCATTAGACTCATTATTAGACTGATCATTTGTCAGGGCCTGGGGGTGAGTAAAAACAACTGCAGTGGGCAGAACACATCAAAGCTCTTACTCACAGTGAGCAGTGCTGTACTCGCTCCATCGCTCTGCTGAAACTGCTGGTTAAGGGGATCTGATTGTCAGGATTATCACTTTCACGTGGTGAAGTAAGTTGCCACATAGCACATGCAAGGAGATCATCCCAAACCTTCCTGCAAGAACAGTATGGTGATAAACTTCATCACAATAACTGAGCTCTTACAGACCCAGTATCTGGACTTGAGAACTGGATATACACCCAGAACAGGACAAATTCTATACAGTGTACATCCTAATGCTAAAACACTAAACATCTATTTTCCCAGAGCATATGAAATCACAGAAAGCTAAAATGCAGATACAAATGGTGGCAACACAGTCATGTACTGGTACGTCCTGCTGTAGAACTTATGGCTATTACCTGATTGTTTTGAAGGAGTCAAAGAAACCCCACACTATGTTCCACAATGAAAGCTTGTTGTTTTCAACCCTGGACCTGTTTGCTGCTGGGACTGAGACCACTTCTACAACTGTGCGCTGGGGTCTTCTTCTGATGATGAAATACCCAGAAATTCAGAGTAAGGCTGAGAAGTCCTCTTGTACAATATTCTGTTGCATGCTTAAGGCTTTGGTTATAGAAGGGAGTGGAACTCATTCAGTATTGTTTAGAGTAATTATTTATGAGTGCTCCAAGGGAGATAACAACCTCTGACTTTACAAAGGGATTTTACTCAGATGGATTGCAATAAAACAGCCCAGACAAGTGGGAGAGGATAAGGGCCAGCCTACAGTCACAGGAAAGCTCCCCCGGCATTACTGTCCTGCAGGCTATTGGCTTACGTCACTAAAGGTCTCCTGCCTCCTCCGGATCTGATCCTGATCTGGCTTCTTTTGAAGGCTATGGGGTAACAAAGGTGTGCAATCAGAATCGGGCATGTAATGTCCTGTAGTGGCTCCATTCAAGTTCCCTTGGTTCAACAGCAAAGATAAAAGAACCACAACATGCCCTGACTTACCCGTCCCACTTTCTGCTCTTCCTAAATGCCCCTCACAGTTTTCCCTTTTCTTCATCTTGGCCAAACTGAAGGCTATTCTAGTTGCAAGATAGGAGAAATATCATCTTCTTACTCCTTTTCTTCCTCCAAGGAAAGATTCAAGAAGAAATGAACCACGTCATTGAACCTGGAGAGATGCCTAAGTTGGAGGACAGGAAAAAAATGCCTTACACGGATGCAGTGATACATGAAATACAAAGATTTGCCAATATTGTCCCAATGGGTGTATCACGAGCAACACCAACCGATGTGAATTTCCGAGGTTATGTGATTCCTAAGGTGAGTTTTGGGGCCAGCAGCTTATGCTACACAGATTCCTCACAGTTTTGTTCAAAGCAGACAAGAAGAAAAATCTAAAGACGCCCTGATGCTTGGTTTAACTATGAAGTAATCCTTTGTCTTGGATCCAGGGCAGCTGTTATAAACATGCACTGGACTGTGGTCTGTGATAGCTGTTTGAATCCAGAATAATGAGAGACTGTAATTAAGTCACACTGGTTGGAATATCTTATGCTAAATGTGGAACCTCTCTGTACTTCAGTATTTGTCTTGAAAGATCTCTCTGAATCTGTAAGATAGAAATCTTTTGTGGTCCAAAAAGAGAGCAGCAACTGCTGATAGTAGGCAAAACCACAGTGGGGCCAGGAAGCATCCTCTAGTTCTATTTGCCATGGCTCAGGCTTATTCTTCCCATGAGAAAGAAAAAAGACAGCTCACTTCTCCTTCAAACAGCTACCAAGAATCTCTTTGATCCTTTTCAGGGTACAGAGGTTATTCCGCTGCTGACCTCCGCTCTGAACGATGAGCTGCACTGGAAAACCCCGGATCAGTTCAACCCTTCCCACTTCCTGGATGCTGATGGGAACTTCATTAAGAGAGAGGCATTTATTCCATTCTCCATAGGTAAGAGGGGTAATTTGTACCTCACCTGGGGCTAGGCACAGTTCCCGCTGACCCCGGGAAAGTATGAAAGTCTGGGACATGGAACACAGGATAAGGGATTTCTGGTCATTTGTTCTGTCCACCATTTCTGTTAAGTAACCACTTCTTCCTTGAAAGATCTGGGAGACATCAATTTACCCCCAGTCACTGAGAGACCTCATGTACCTACAGGCTTCTGTGTGGTTTGAGACCAGGTCAGTAGCACCTCAAACATACAGAAAGAAGGAAGGAGAAATCCCCTACCTCAGCAGCCTGCTCTTACAGACTGTGCACCCAGTTTAGAAGGTCTCAGATGTCAACACCAACAGTTACGGTGCTTATCATTTACTTCTCTCCTGTTTTTTTTCAGGACGAAGGGCTTGTGTTGGAGAAGGACTGGCCAAAATGGAGCTGTTCCTCTTCTTCGCAGGCTTGCTCCGCAAATTTGTCTTCCAAGCCCCTCCAGGAGTGGACAAGTCAGATCTAGATCTCACTGCTGATGTCGGCTTCACCCTGAATCCCATGCCTCACCTGGTTTGTGCTGTGCCCTGTGAACGATCAAACGACAGGGAGTTAGTGTAGTGAACACTTCGAGCTTGAAAGCAAGTCTAGTTACAGGGGAAAAAAGCTGTCTGTACGTGAATTTTAGGGAAAGGGCACTGGGCACTGCTATTGTCTCTCCTTCATATGATTCCTTACAAAAGCTTTTGTGGTGTCTGCATAATGCAAACCCTTCAGACACCCCTGAGAACTGCTCTCAGAAACAGCATGATCCATTCCTGGAACAGCACATCAGACATGCAGTTTTCAGGGCTGTTTGGAAGAATGAAATGGTTTTGAGCATCCTCTGTAGATGTAACCCATCAGAGGCTCTTGGCTGAGAGCCTCCGCGGGGAATTTCTCAGCCCGAAGTCCATGCTATACAGCAGAGCTGATTATCAATGGCCCAGCTGGAGACAACAGACACTTAATGGATCTGGAAATCTCCCCGGGATGGTTATTGAGATTGGACTCAGACTGAGCTTCCATTGTGCAACGCAGCCTGCCTTATCTTTATCACAGCGTCCCAGACACTTGGGTGTAACATGGGCTGATGCCAAGGGCCAGGCATGGGACGGTTATCAGGAAACACCTAAGTGGTTTGGGAAGTGGGCTCATTCCACATCACACTAGGTGCTTTATACTGGAGAGCCTGTTTATGACGGGGCCGATCTATCAGCTTTCTGTTTCTGCTAAGAATGGCATTTCTACCACTCCCTTGCCTCGTGCTGGCTCTGACACATGCCTGACCCCTTGCTGGGCCAGCTCAGACACCTAAATTGGCAGAAAACAAGCAGCCACGGAAAGTGAAGCGTTTCTCAACCAGCACACCTAAAGCCAGACACAAGCCTGAGGCAGGGCGAGGGCTGTGCAGGGGCAGACAGGGAGCAGGACAGCCATGCTCCCATCAGAGGGCTGTCAGAGAGCCTCAGCACTCCTCACCTGCACCTCAGGAGCTGTAGCTCCTCTCTGCATCCACAGAGAGAGAGAGGCTCCTTCAGCGGGTGGTTCAGCTGCCATGAGGTCTGAATCACTCCCTCTCCTCTCCTCTGACTGCAAGGTGAAGCATCATGCCCTGGCTCCTGATTCAAACCTTGCAGTCTGATGCATTGGGTGTGGTGGGATGGATAGGGGCAAGACTGTTTTCCACCTGACTGAAAATGGGGCTTAAAATTTATTGAAAAAGTTACCCTCTGTCTTCAGCTCTTGACAAAACACACATCCCCTGGCATTTCAAGCTTTCTCTCCAGACATTCCTTGTGCCAGGGATAGGCACAAAAAACCACTGCCATGGGCTGCCATGGAAGTTACCCGTGCTCAATACTCAGCAAGATCAGGGCCATCACAACATGAACTGCAAGCAAAACTTTAGTGCTTGCAGAAAGTGCTAGGTAGGAACCAATGTCACAAAGAGCTGGTAAGGCTCATGCTCTGCCAGCAGAGATCCTGCACCACTGACAAAGGTAATAGCATTTTGTATGTAGTCACTGAAAAATTATGTTGAAAAACTGGTAATATTGTAAAACTGGAAGAAGAAGCAGGTTAGACCTCATTACCCATTCTCTCATCTGTTCCATGAACTTGTTGCATGGGGTCTCCAGAAAGTTGGTGACATCCCAGGGGCTGCAGCCTTCCCAGAGCAGCTGCTTGATGAGCACAGTTAATGATTTATCTCATGCAGCAGCCATTATGTGTAGGAACAACAAGTTGTACCTGCAGGGAGGGAAGGTGTGAAATCTGAGTGATGGTGCTGGTCAGAGAGGAGCTTCATTTGTAGAACAGAGGCAGGAAACCAGATGTGGGCTAGGGAGCGGTGAGTCACTGGCCATGCTTTTGTGTTGCTCTGGAAGCAGGAAAGGCAAATTAGGATGAAAAGAGAAAAGGGAGAACCTGACAGTTACACAGACCAAGGGGGTGGTTGTGGCAAGTCTGTAACAGAACAGCACTGTCATCTAAACCTGAGCCGTGCTGCAAATGGAAGAAAGGAGGAACAGACTATGAAGGGATGACAAAGCAGGTGCTCTTTGTTCAGCCAAGACACAGATTCTTCCCAGTAGCTTTAGTTCACAGCTAAAGACAGCACTCTGATAGTTATACTGTGCCTTGTGCCTTGTACCAGTACTGCACTGGTACCTGCACTGTATTGCACTGCTGTTGCACTCGCATTGTACCTTGGAGCCAGCTCCAGCTTGCAGATACATCTCGAGGAGTCTGCTTAACAAGCTCTGTAACACGAAAGCCTTTGCTGCTCTGCTTGCTTACATTCATTTTGCTCTTGCTTTATTTGCAGTCGAACTACTGCAAGCTTGACCTTAGCTCCTACTTAACAAATAAATATTTTGTTCTGTTGCTGTTGATTTATCTGGCGTTGCAGGATGAAGTAGATTTAGGGTCAAACTGATAAAGCTGGGCTGCAGCACCTTTAATACGCCCACGCTTGGGAGGTGAGTGCAGGGATCCCTGGGCAACACACGGCCAGAACATGTTTAACAATGCAAAGGGTGAGCAATACTCCGAGCCACAGGCAGCTCACAGAAAATCAGGGAATTTCTAACACCGTAAGGTCACAACAGAACAGCTCTTTTCAATACTTTAGTAGTCATCCCCTTCAAAAGTATCCCCTGTCAAAAACAAATGCACAGTCTACATGTTGATGCAGGGTAACTACGTAAGAAGGGAGCAATTTTCAGAGCTCATTGTCAGGTGAATTAGAGAGTGAGTCCTCTCAGATTTCCAAAATGCTTAAGATGCCATGCAAGGCTTTTTCTTGCATTGGTCCCAGGGAGACAGAGAAGCAGCTGAGATGGTATTGTGTGAAGAGAAAACAATGATGGAGAAGGAAAACCCTTCACAAACACACTGCCTTGGAAGATGTGCTTGTTTGCCTTAACAAGGACATGTACAAGAGAGGCAGGAAGAGCAGGGCCACACAATGTCCCAGAGAGGACGAGTCATCTGCTTCCATTAGCCTTTTCTCATCCGCAGATGCAAAGCGAAAAATTAAAGTGAATGGCAATAAATTTAAGCTAATAGAAGGAAATAGGTTTTTCTGCCTTTTACAAACTTTAACACTGGAGGAGGGATGCAACTCCACATTCTTCAAGTTAAAAGCCACATCAGAAATAAAAAAAAAACTTTTTTTGGCTGGGGAATATGCTATCGTACGGTGCTCACTTGGAGCTCCCCCAGTGCCTGGCTGCTGTCTGAGGCAGGATGCTGCTCTAGATGGCTCTGATGTGGCCTCTCATGGTGAGTCCTGAAGCTCCTGCACTTGCTTAAAAGGAACTCATTGTGGTAATAGCCTGCAAGGATTGTCTGAGCCTGCAGTCCTGGATGCACTGCTAGGAAAGGGAAAAGTCAAGAGTGTGGCTGGCGGGGAGGGCACAGAGATCTTTGGGGATTTAAGTTAAATTAAGGGATGTAGGGCTGGTGCTTTCCTTGGTTTTACACACCATGGGCTGCCAAAACGTGGTGGCTGTGCTTGGGGTGATGGGCAATGCTGACCAGTGCCTGTGCTTGTGTCCTGCCCGGTGTGCTTGGCTCACATGCGGTGTCAGGGGGCCGCAGGGACCGGGGACAACCTGGCTGCGAGCACCCCGAGGGGCCCGGCTGCCCCAGGAATGCACCCGGAGCGCTGTCAGCGCCTGGCAGGTGCTTTGTGCTGGGCTCTGTGTGCTCAGGCAGGGCAGCACGTAGCCCAGACGCATTATTGAGACAGGAATTTCTTGTCATCGCAAGAGCTTGACTTACCTTTGTCATTTTAATGCATTGCACTCAGAGGTTGGTTTGAAAAAAAACACAACACACTCTCTTTCCCCCCTCCCCGGCTTTTCAGAGATAATTTAAGGCTCTTTCTCTGAAAGGCCTTTTTATGATTTCGGTGGCTCCCAGGGCAAGGATGAAATACCACGAGTGGCAGTGACACGTAGCTCTTGCACCGTGGGGTGCTCCGCTCCAGCAAAGCCCTGCAGGAGCAGACACCTTGCCCAGGGCACGGAGCTTGTGCCCCTGCCAGCTGTCATCGCGGTGCCCATGTCCTGTGCCCCCTGCCAGCCCTGATCCTGCTTGCCTGCCTTTACGCCCCCCCTGCCTCTCTGCTCACTTGAGCAGGCAGGGTTGAGTCATCCCAGGCATGCTCTTCGGAAAACCGTTGCCTCCAACCCATTTCTTGGAAACTAATAAAAAAAAAAAAAATCCCAGAAATGTTGCGACACACTTACAGCTTCTGCTTCTGGGCACCACCGTGCTGTGACTTCTCCACACTGTGCGGCAGCTCTGGCATGCACCGAAGCGGCCGTTTGCCTCGGGACCGTGCTAACACAGCTATGCCCTCCTCACGTCAGGCCACTTCCTTCCCTACCTCTGTGCATTCACAAGTTTGAGGACATGCTTGCTGAATAACATTCTTTATAAGATCTAACCTTTGGATAAATGTACCTTTAGCCCCGTGCTTCCTTACAATGTAAGAGATCTTTCTTCCCCAAACAAACTTATTCCACTGACTATTTATTACCAGATCTCAATGTCCTCTGGAGGAGATGTTAACCTTTAGGAGGAATGCAAGCTCCAGGTATTTTGTACCTTTGACTTAAATTAATTCCATTCTCCATCTTGCTCACAGTCTGGAGCTGCCAGGGTAGCCACCTTCATTAACTTCACCTCCTTCCCTCTCTCTCTTAGAAGCTGCTCTTTCAAAATGAGGAATCCCCCCAGAAAGTTTCAGATCTAATTTTGCCTTTCCATTTCACGTATGCTGAATCCACTCATGATCATTTGATCCAAGCTCATTTTCCATGGCTAGCTATTACATGTCCTTCACTTCAGACATGGAGTCTACAATCACATCCCTTCTGGGCACCTCAGAGCTTACTTTATGATGAAGTTTACGGGCTACGACACTGAGGGATACAAGGGCTTTACCATCATCAACAACCTTTGATCTCTACTTGACATCAACAAAGTTAAAGTCTCCCTTAACAACACTATTTCTTTCTCTAGCAGCCCGGAGATCTCAAACCCTATCCAAACCTGAATCTGGAGGTTTCTAATAGTACTCAAAGAATCTTTTTATTTCCCTGTGTCAGCAGAGTGCTCGGAGGGTCATAGTACTGCTAGTAAAGGACTTTGAGGTCTCGGGGAGGAGGAGGCTATAGAGGAATGCCAAGCACCTTTTCCCATGTATATGTTCTTGCACACACATGCATAGGTTTGTAATTTGAAACTCTCTTTACTTCTGGACAGGCTTTGCAAACTGCTTAGACCACATTCTCTGAGGTGTTTAAAGAGGGTGGAGTAAGCAGTATTTATTTAGGTACTCTACAAACCTTAATAAGAATCGAGTGCTTGTAGCAATCGCAGAGAACAAACAGAAAGCCAGCTGGCAGAAACTGAACAGTGCCACTGCATTTTTATTGCTTCTAACACAAAAAAAATATATTATTACAAAAAATGTCTTTTTTAATTTCTTTTATCTCTGATCCTGTATTAATTTGTCTGCTCTGTGCAGCAGTATTATTAGCTGTAATCTATTTTTCAACTGGCTCTAAAAATTCATCTTTTAAATTGCCTCCTGGTCCAACTCCTCTTCCGATCATTGGTAACCTGCATTTGGTGGATATTAGAAGGCAAGATAAATCTCTAATGAAGGTAGGACAAAAAAACCCCAAACCCAGACCCTTGTACATTTTAAACCTGCCTGGGCTATATCCATGCGTTTTTTTTTGTCTTTTTTAATTTGAACTAAATTGTAAAGGTGTGAAAATTGCTTTATAATATTTTCTCTGATCTTCTTCAAGCCAATGTCTGTGTTGATGCAATGTCATTTGTGAGCGATCAACCATTAAAATAAAGACCTCTGGGTAATATGTGATTTCTTCATGTAATTGTGATGATGTACATGAAGTGTATAATGCTTGTGGGATTTTAAATATTAATTTGACAGCTCTGATGCCCAGAAAACTTGTATAGCATTAGGAAAGAACTAGCATGAAATGAAACTGCTTCCTTATCCCGCGCCCTAGAGAAGCGGTGGGGAAATTTCACGATGTGGTGACACCAGCGCTGCTTCGGAGGGTGCCAAATCCAGACACCCTGTTGCAAAATCGACTTCCCTCTGGCTGAGTTGGATTTGCATTAAAATCTAGATAGCAGTACGAGAGTGGGATGGAAAGTTTGAGCAGCCTGGAAGCTCTTCCATTAGCTTGCAATTAAAATGACTTACTTTGCTCGTGCGGGTAAACCACTCGTTGGCATCAGGTGAGGCTGGCACAGCCCGGGGGGTTGCTGAGCGCTCCCTCCTCGCCCTGGCAGACAGCACCAAGGGATCGACCTGCTGGGGACACGGAGAGAGTGAGCAAACAGATAGCAGCAGCGGTGCCCAGGCTCCCTAACACCCCTGCCACACAAATGCCGGCAGCTCTCGGGGAGGATTTGTGGTGCTGGGGGGTGAGGCTGCAGCCCCTGGGCTTGTCTGTGGGCAACAGCAGGGTTGGGGGCAGTTTACGCAGCGGGGCTGGGCAGATGTTTGCCTCTGAACTGTGTTTTTGAATTACCTCTGCATGCTTTCATCACCCGCAAGGCTGTATTTGATATCGCCTACGTTTGCCTTTAATTTGGGATGAATCCAGAGGGGTTATCCCTGCTTCTCACCCCACAGATAATAAAAAAAATGGTGACTGCATTGAGCAACATGCAGCAGTGGTTGCTGGCTGGGCACCCTGACAGGAGAGATGCAGGCAGGCAGGATGCACCCTTCTCCTCCACAAAAGCTGCTGCTGCAGCAGCAGCAGGCTGAGGCTGCACACACACAGCGTGTGCCTGCCTGGGAGGCAGAGCAGGGCTGGTGCTGCCCTTCTCTGCTGTCCCCAGAGACTGCCAGGGAGCATGGTGCAGCCGCAGCAGCGGTGTTCAGCCTCGTGGGCAGGCTGCTGGTGCAGTGACGTGGAGATACCCAGGGAAAAAGCAGGCGCTGAGGACACAGCAGGCACGTAGCAGCAGGCACACGTGCGATGGTCCTCACCGAGCACGCATTTCCTCATCTGTCTGCTGCTACACTCTGCAAAGAGCCTGGCTATGCCGTGGCAAAGATGTGCCCTTTTTGGTGCAAAACGAACATCACTCTGTATACGAGCACGGGGTCAGCCAGCAGTTCAGGCAGCCTCCTGCTCCTGCCACAGGTTTCCCTGCTGTGCCCAGCTAAGCTAGAGGTACCAAAGCCAGGTCCGAGCACAGGGGCATGGGATTGCAATTTGTGCTCGTGCAGGGCAAACTGTACACCCAGCGTGGGTGAACTTGGCTCCTGATCTAGCAGCAGGGATGCTGGAGTGCTTTGGTACGAGATGGGTGTCATGAGCAGGAGCTTTCCCAAGTGACAGCATCATTATGTGCACTGAAATGCCTGCTCCGTTTTTGTCTGTCTCTGGTTTGTCAACTTGGGCTGCCATTTGAGGTCTGGTCTTTAACTCTAGGTGCTTGGTTTTTGTTTTTCACTTTTTGACTTTCCCTTTAACACAGAAATGAGATTAGCAAGGCCCCGACTGGGGGTGGGGGCTGCCATGGGGCAATAAACCCCAACACCCAGCCTGGCATCCATGCAAACACCTGGTGCTTGACCATGATGAACTTCGACTGATGGATGCCACTCTGCAGGGGGTGGCTCTGCATCAGACATAGCAAGTCCTTTCTGAAAGGAATGGGCACTTTCCTTCTTCGCTGACTGTCACAGCTTGCCTCTCTTTCAGCTTGCGGAAGAATATGGCCCGGTCTTCACGCTCCATTTTGGCTTCCAGAAAGTTGTGGTCCTGACTGGGTATGAAGTTGTGCGGGAGGCGCTTGTGAACTACACAGAGGAGTTTGTAGACAGACCATCCATCCCAATATTTGACCAAATTCAGAACGGAAACGGTACTAGAGAAATGAGGGGGGGCGGGTGGGAGGGATGGTACCGTCACTCAGTGCTTCCCTAGAGCCAGGCTTTTAAAAATCCCCCTTGGACCCTCCTGAAGCCAAGCCGATGGAAAATGTTTGTTTTTTCTCACTTTCATGCACGTCTCCTTTACACTGCCACTGTTTTTGGCAGTGCTCCTGCAGACTGATCCCTCTCCTAAGCATTGGAGGGCAAGGTGTGGGATTTTTAAAGGTGCAGTGGTAATTCTGGGGTGATTTCCATAAATGCCCTTGAGAGCAACTCACTGCTACCACCACATTTCCAAACCTCCCCTGTGGGGTCATGGGACTTTGGACTGGCTGGCTGGGCTGTATGGATCTGAAGGGTTTGTCCTGTTCACCCGGTGCTAGGTACCTCAGTTTTGGATGTCATTATTCCCCAGCATCTTGTCTCCACCAAGGCTGGGATGTGAAATGTATTCAGCAGTGGGCTGTCTGGAAATTCTTGCCACAAACATCCCATAGTTTTTCCAAGGTGGCTCTCCATCCCTGACTAGTTCAGAGGACATCTTGCCCTGTTCTTCTGCCCTCTGCTTCGGCTGGGGCTTTAGCGGTGAGCAGCCAAAAGGCAGCTTTATATGCTGGTCACAGGCTGGAGCTGGGATTACAATTAGAAATTAAATTACCCAGCCATAATATCAAGAGATGAATTTATCGCTACATAAGGAAAAGGAATCGATGGGGAGAAAAGCATCGTTCAGAGCTGATTTACATATAAAATATCCCTTTGGGAAACTGTCGGTATTGCACTATAAGTCCTTTCACACTTACCTTCCTAACCCAAGTTGGAGCTGCTCAGAGGTGACCTGAAGCTGTAAATTCACAGGGGCTGTTAAGTAGCAAGGGTCACAAATTCTCCAATGAAACATTTTTTCTCTCCAGCAAATGTCAATTTGTTGACTCTGAAGCTGTTTGCAGAAAATGAGTGGTCCAGATGAAATTGCCTGAATTAAAGAAAAATCAAATTTAGAAATTTGCTTTGACATTTTTAAATTGAGAAGTTTTGCTTTCCAAATTAAAACTACCCTGCTGTAAAACTGTGTTTGTTCTAAAAAAGGAAAATAGATGTAAAAACCTTGCAGCCAAGATGTGAAGTACTATAATCCAGCTTTTTTAATTGACACTGTCTGAGACAGTCTTCAGATTACTAACACAATTTTTTTCTTTCACTATCCTCTGATGGGATGAAATACCCATCCCTGCTCATGGTGGCTGTGATCATCAAGGCATGAGCTCAGTGACAGCCACAAAATGATAGTGTTTTTACCACTGCTGAAAATACATTGGGAATGTATTTTCACTGTTACTGGGAATCTCAAAAAAACAGTTCAGCACTGTCTAGGGTTTACAAGACTGAATTATCCCATCCCACAAAGATAAAAGATCTTTATGATTGGAATAGAACAAAGGGAGAAGCTTCAAAGATACAACGCTGTTGCTTGAGGCCCTAGACTTGCAACCAAACAGGGTCAGAATGGTTGCATGATTGACTAAGTCCAACCTCTCTCCCCAGCCCTACAGCCAAGCAGTGGTGGTCTGAAAGCCCTACCTGCTTATCTTGCAGCTGGGGCAGGCTGGGCTGGGTGGGAGCTGGTTTTTCATGAGCTACAGGCTCGGTGAGACTGGGAAGACTGAGCTGAGAGGATACAGGGATGGGGCACAGAAAAATGGGAGATCCTTATTTCCCAAATCCATTAGAAACTGGGCAGCACAAACACTTGTGGAGATCCCGCTTCGTCCAGTTCCATATCTTGTTTTGTGTGGTGGGGAACTTCTGTGCATGGTGCCAGCAGTGATGTCTCATGCCCCCCCCAGGTGTCTTCTTCTCCATCGGGGAGCTGTGGAGAACAACGCGGAGATTCACCGTGTCCAGCATGCGCAACCTCGGCATGGGCAAACAAATGATGGAAGGGAAAGTCTTTGAGGAGCTTCACTTCCTTATCGAGATGATCAAATCCTTCAAAGGTGAGCTGGGGACCATCACGGTGCTCCACAGCACCACATGTGTCACTGCTGCTGCTACAACATCACACCAACACATCCATCCTCCTCCCATTGCAGGGGAACCTTTCAGCCTGAGGTCCTTCAACATTGCTCCCATCAACATCACCTTCCTCATGCTCTTTGGGGACAGGTTTGACTACAAGGACCCAACATTTCTCACTCTCTTAAGACTCATAGATGAAGTTATGATTCTTCTGGGATCTCCCTATTTGAATGTAAGTAACCTGTCCCACAGGGTAATGTCTTTTTCCACTGGCACATTGCAATGAGCCACACAAATCACAGGGCACAGTTCAGGAGTTTCCAAATGTCTGGAACCTGTCGTTACACCTCTAATGTTCTTCATGTACCACCTTGGTCACCACAGGTGTGCAGCCAGATTTCCCTCTGATATCCTGCTTTTGCACCATCCTGCATATCTGCGTGGAGCTAAAATGAGAACTGAACTATGATCATTTTAGCTCCACAGGTATTTGATGGCTCCTTCAACACAATCACACCATCTAGGCTTTCTCTGCCTTTGCGGTGTTTTCTAAAAAGACACATTCAGTGTTGACGTCCAGGTGAGGGAGACTTCACAGACTGCATTAAAAATGCTTTCTTAGAGAGTACCAGGAAAACTCTGCATAACTTCAAACCATAATACCCAACCATTCATAACGGATGCTGGAAAAAAACAAGCAGTCACATAAACTGCCTGCCTGCCTGGCGTGCCGGAGCCCCAGCTCTGCTGAGAGGCTGACCAGCCTCCTACTGGTAGAGGAGCTGCTCCCACACAACAGTGCAAATGTTTATAATTAGGTAGTACTGAATAAAAGCTCATAGGTTTCAAAGCCCACCCTCACGAAAATGTGCCAGTGAGCCCTCTCGGTCCCTGGGATGCTAAAAATGCACTGCTAAAAGACAGAACTCACCTGATCTCTCATGTCCTAGGAATAAGGTATTTCAGCATGTTGATACTTCTACTGACCTATTGGTTCTCTTTTTTAATTCCTCGTTAGTATTTCAATTTCTACCCATTCCTCGGATTTCTCTTCAAAACCCACAAGATTTTGCTTGAGAAAATAGAAGATGTGCGTGCCATTATAAGGCAATACATGAAGGCAAGCAGGGAAGATATCAATGAGAACAGCGTGAGGAGCTACACTGATGCACTGATATTCAAGCAACACGAGGTATGTCACTGCTTAGCTCTGTTGGCTGTTTGCAGCGTCTTGTTTGGATTTTCTAGGTCAAACAGTTGCTGAGTCTTGATTTCAGTCATCTCATGTAAATGTGTGGAAGGTAACTCTGTTATTCTTGTGGCACTGAAATCAGATTCCTGTCTCATACAGTTGGTTTAATTTACTGCAGGGATTTTTCTACCAAAGTGAAGAAGTGAAAGTCACTCTCTCAGTCCAGTCCTGAAATAGCAGCACTAATAACGTGAGATGAACTCTTTGTTCATAGTAGAAAATGCATGAATTCACATGAAAGCTGACTCTGCCTTTCTTTTTATGACAACAGATCAATTAATCATTGATACAGTTGCTCCAAGATGAATGATACACTTAAAGCACTTGAGTGATAAATTGTCAGCACGTTTGCTAGCCCTGCCCTGCACCTCACTTTAGCAGAGACTCTGCAATTTCACACATCAGTTGATTTCATTCCACACAAAATATTTGGGCTCTGAGTTTTTTCTTCTTTCCCACTGGAGCTGGGCCAACGTGAGGCATTAGCTCTTCTACACACCTATATGGAGGAAGGTTCACTGCAGTCCTAAAGCCCAGGAGAAGCACTCTGAAATGTCATTTTGAACACTGGTGGGGATGCAGTCTTGCTGCTCTCTTCCTGGGTAGGAAGGGTCTGGGATTAGCTGAATCTCCCTCCGTACAGGGGAGCGACCGGGCTCTTTCCAAACCTGTGAGGCTGAGACTATCAACAGCATCTGGCCCTGAGTCCCAGGCTGCTTCTGGGTGGGGACGAATGCCAAACCACCACTCCACTCCAAATCTCCTGTCTTTGGTGCTGTTTGCTGTGTGTGCAAGATCAAGCCATCCATCACCCAGCTCACAAACACAGGATCGTGCCCAACAGTTGTGTGGGTTATGTGGTGTTGCCCAAACCCGCTGAGTGCTGACACTTCCTATTTTAAGAGCTTTCTTACCGGTCACTATGCTTGTGTCTCTCAAGGAGAAAAACAAGAAAGACAGCATCTTCCATGATGAAAACCTAATAGCATCCATACTGGATCTGGTCATGGCAGGAACAGAGACCACAGCCACGACGCTCCAGTGGGCCATCCTGCTGATGATGAAGTACCCGGAGATTCAGAGTGAGCTCCTTTCACCTACTCTCCTCCTGCGGGAGGGAAAGGCCTCCCACCTCTTTAATTTATGAATTCCCACTGTAATTAGATGCTGAATGAACTTACAACAAAGGACTCCCTGTGCCTTGCTGGGAGAAAGAGTGGAGACCAGAGCATGATGCTGGGAGAACAGCCCATGCACGTGCCTGAACTAGAGACAGAGCTGGGGAAAGCTGGGATGGTGTTTTAAGAATCCTCTCCCTCCAGACCTGGAAAAGTATATTTTTACCAAAACTGAATCCGAAAGTGTTGGCTGCCTTGCTGGAACACATATTTTTTTGTTCTGAACTTTTTTTTGAACTTTCTTTGCTCCTTCCAGAAAAGGTGCAAGAGGAGATTGGAAGAACCATCAAAGTTGGAACATGGGCCACGTACGAGGACCGGAAGAACATGCCCTTTACCAACGCGGTGTTACACGAGGTGCAGAGGTTTATCACCCTCCTGCCCCATGTTCCCCGCTGCACTGCTGTTGACACCCACTTCAGGGGCTACTTCCTCCCCAAGGTAGGTAACTGCTCCAGCCCATTTTTGGGTTGCTCCTCCTGATTTCTGCTGGTAGGACTAGAGACCACTTTCTTTAGAGGGAGCTACAGGACAGGAGCCCAAAGTGTCCAAAATTAACCACAGAAGGGTTTCTTCCTCTCCAGTGACTATGCTGAGTCCATGGAGAACAGTGTTACAGGACTCGATTCAGGCCCTCTCATGCTCAGCACTTCCTCACTCCAGGAGTGACCTTGGTTTACCTCTTTGATGCTATCTGCACAGCGAAGCATCTGCCAGGGAATTTACAGGATCTGCCTGAGGTTTTCACTGCGCCACGTGGCATTTGGCTTCGATCCTTGGCACTGCTGGGAAAATCTCACTGACATCTCTCTCTGTTGACTGATGGGATAAAACTTTCAGGGTCAAGTCTCCTGGGACAACAATGTCTGTGTCACAAAATAAAGCAAAACAGAGGAACAGATCCGTCGCTCCTGCCCAAGAATTTTACTTACAAAGCTACTTTCATGTATTTTCTTCCAGGGTATAATCGTAATCCCATCACTCACTTCTGTGCTGCTGGACAAGACACAGTGGGAGACACCACACCAGTTCAACCCCAACCACTTCCTTGATGCTGAAGGGAATTTTGTGAAGAGGGAGGCTTTCCTGCCCTTCTCCACAGGTGACTAAAGCCCTGACCTGCAGAGCTGAGGCTACAGCGGGATCATTTCATTACAATGCGCACTAATGGGGTCTTCTCAACTAAGTGGTGCCTTTTTGGGGCTGCCAAGGATTCCATCAAGGCCATTTCTTTTAGAGGAAGAAGCCACCCTGTGGTTAGGGGGGTTATTGGGCACTTGGCATCCTGGATTCTGTTCCTGACACTACCTTTGTCTGCAATTTTGGTCATCTCAAACTTTTTTTTTTTTAAGTTTCACCTGTAATATACAATGAACATTCTCTCCCTGGAGGCTCATAATCCCAGCCCCCTTCGGACTCAAACTGAGCTAATGGCTGGAACAGTTGTTAGGTATCAGAAACTCTCCCCTGAGCCTTCCTAAAAGACGAAATATCACTTAGTGCCTTCCTGACAGCTATAAATGCTTCCAAAGGCTGCTAATTTCCAGAAATGCCTGCCTCCCAGCCTGTGCTCTCCATGACTACAGCCGCATGCATTACAAGAGGGCACAGCTGGATGGAGCAGTCTTGCTGGGATTTTAACAAATCTCAACGCTGCAGGAGCCCATAAGTACTACAAAGGGAAACTTCCTGTAAAATCCTACAAATCCTCCTGTGTAACCTTACACTTCCCAGCTGTTCCTCTGCAATGATGGCTTGAAGGTGTTCCAGAACATGTTACAGCCTCAGACCCTTCTGACATTAGGAAGCCAGTTCTCGCTGTCCACCAAGTGCTTCACCCCTACAGGGACTGTCATGTGAGGGCTGGGAATCTGGCACAAAGGGGGAGTAGGAAAGGAGAAACAGTCTTTTATTACAGTGAGAAGTGAGTTTTGGACCATTCCACTTCGGGAAGAGGTGGCATGTTTCTATCAGGCTGCTTTTCAAGAGAAAGGGACCAGACAAAGATGCTGAGGGGCTCAGAAGGTTCTTAAGTCCATGTATGCAATTTGGTGAAGGAAAGGATCTCTTCCTTACTGAATACAAAAATTGCAACCCTAATCCACAGCCCTGCTGTGCTGAACACCCTTATACACAGAACAGGAGCCTGTCTGCTCCAGAGAGCTGGTGATCTAAACAGGCAGTCTTGTGGGGAGGGGAACAGAACAAAGAAGAGGAAGGGATTTGCTTGGTCTCTTTGCACGCAAGTGACAGGCAGGACAACAACTCATTTCCTAATGAGGCGAGAGATCCCCCATTCATTAGACAAGATAACCTCCGAAGAAAGGAGAGGAGAGGGTACGTCATAAATACAAAATAACCCTGCAGCTTGCCACATGGCTGCCACTTGATGCCAGCGTGAAGGGTCAGCTACCTTTAGCAACTTGGGCTGCTCTGCTCCAAAATGCCCTGAAGCCACTTCAGAGGTTTCACCCCTGTTTCCATTATGTTTCTGTTTTTAACTTGATACTTCCATCAAGTAAACCCACTACTTTCCTCTGCAGGGAGAAGGAACTGTATCGGAGAAAGCCTGGCCAAGATGGAGCTGTTTGTCTTCTTTGTAGGATTGCTGCAGACATTTACTTTCCGACCCCAGCCAGGAGTTTCAGAGTCCGACTTGGACCTCACTGTCCCCCAAACAACTTTCACGTTAAGGCCTCGGCCGCAGGCAACCTGTGCTATCCTACGTGAATAACCACAGCTTCGCTGAAGAGCCCCCCAGGCAAGCGGGGAAGCTGCTAAGGCCCAACTTAGCTTGGCTAGGACTCACCACCCCCATCCTGACACATCACGCTCGTAATTCCTTCTCGCTGTCTCCATCCACTCCCACTCCACTGCCCTCCACCTCTCCATCTGCCCCGCAGGTCACTGACCCGCTCGTTGGTCCCGAGCTGCGAGGGGGTGCAGACGATCGATGTCAAACTGTGATCCTGGCTCACCAACACATTCTCCAGAGAGGGAGGCTGTGCCTGGAGCAGCTGGAAGGACCACGGAGGATGTCTGGTGACATGCACACAGTCCATGAGATGTAGGTGTGACATCCGGGCTCCCACGGCAAAGCAGTGAGGTTGATAACATTGCACAAATCTGCCCCGAATTCCTGGGGCAGACACACTGACACTCACGGGGAGTCACAGAAATATGCCATGGGTCACACAGTTGAACCATCTGCAGGTACCTCCTGAACCAAGCTCTCCATAGCTTCTAGGCAAATTCTGTCGGGCTAGGCAGCCAGGTCAAACACAAGAGTGAAAAATAACAGACCAGTTCATGTGATTTGGGGATGAAGTTCTTTATGCCTTGGAACAGAGTCCTGAAAGACACCTCAAAGTCTGCGAAGCTGTTTAGATAGCTGAGTGCTGCTACCACCAAGTTCACTGCTGCTTCACAGCCTGAAAGAAAGAAGAGCTACATTTCTGACACCAGTTAATATTTGTACCAGCAACTGATCATAAAAGGCTAATGATACAGGAAAATAAACAAGAGCAATTTCTCATTTTACGACTCTCTGTTTTTCCTGACCATGTTGAATAGGAGCAAATGTTTTCCCTCTCTCACATCTCCTGGGGAATCAATATGGTATTTGGGACACTTTGGCCACTGGAACCGACCGTGCAAATAGAGTCTAATTTCACGGTGCCTACATTGCATACACGCACTCAAGGAGACTTGGGATCAGGGATTAGAAGTGACCTGGTTTTGGTTATTTTCCTTTGCTCTGTGGCTTTATCTGGCTGCTGTCCCTACCTGTAGCACTCTTATCTTCCATCACACTCTGCAATCCTATTCCAGTTGATGTATAGCTCAGGCAATTTTCCATCCGCATAACCACCTGTGAATTGCCTTTTCCATATGCATTATCTTATCATGTACTTTATCACACTGTTTGTCTCCCCCTTCATGGGAACCCAATAAAGTTTTAATTTTCCCATGTCTTCATTATATCTGATGTGCCTGCCACCCAACTTTGTGCTGCACAGAACATGAAGGTTGATCCTGAGCCCAAGAGTGACAATGAATATTGTCAGTTCAACTCGTATCTGGTGGATGAGAGGTTCTGCATGCCCTAGTCCCACTAACAAACTGCTCAGCAGGACACCCTCCATATCTGCAGAGTGGTTTCTCCAAGGCAAAGAGCTTTCCCTTTGAGATCAGCTATGGCTACTGGTCAGTCCTGAGGATAGCCTTTGTTTTTCACTTTTTTTTTCCTTGCCTAACCTTCACATCCCACTTGCAGGGGAAGAATGAAAGGTTCCCACCACACCTTCACTGATGCTAGTGCTGTCCCTCTGCATAGTGCCTTGGACCTTGAATCTCTCACCTCAGCTCTGACCCTCCCAAAGCATCACTTGCTGACTCTGTTTCTCTTGGGGAGTGGTGGCAGCAGGATGGGGTCTTCTTCAGGGGGCAGACAGGTCAAGCAACTGAGCAACAAGCTACACGTCAACTCAATGAAGGTAGGCAAGTGAAAAAGACTTTTGCCTTTGGCTTCTGAGAGGCCAGGCCTGTTCCTGCCCTACCCCCCTTCAAAACTAATATGAACTCAGAAGACACATGTGGCAACCACTTAGTGCTTGGGGGAGAAAACTGGGCTGGGTTTAAATCTGCATTAACTCACTGGTGGAACCTCAGACCTGACCCCTTGTCACTGGCTTTGGGTGTCCTGGCTTGGGAGGAGAGAGGTGGATCCTTCCCCAGAAGCACAGCAGCCTCCAGAGCCTGCTCTTCTCAGACATCACCTTCCCTGCTGGCTTTCTCTGTCAGGCAGAGCAGCAGAATTTGCAATATTCATGCCTCAAAGAGAGCCACAAGGTGCAAATATCCAAGGGAAACAGGTTCCCTTGACTCCTTTACCAATGTATCTTACTTGTACCCGTATTAGCAGACAGATGGAAGTGATCGCTTGCTCTCCAGCACACTAAACTAGATAGCTGAATGTATCTCCACAGAAGAAAATGCTGTCTCCCATTTATTCTTTCAGCCAAATGATGGCAGAACATTGATTATGACTCAGCTACTGATTTATCTAGCAGAAAACATTGGCTCCCTGGGCTCATAAGTGGGTGGAAATACCATTTCCACATTCCTTAGTGGCCCTGAGGGTCTTCCTGCTGGCTGCAAAACATGTTTGTGCCTTGCAACACACCATCCTGAATTGAAGGCAAACATCTTGGGGCAGGACAGGTTGCTGGGTATTGAAAATTAGGTATGAACAACTCCACCTCACCCCGTGTCTGTGGCTCACGGCACGTGCAGCGGGCTGGGCAGCATGCTCCACATCCCTGCCTGCAATCCCCGGTGCTGCTTGATGCTGGGGCCAGGGGTCCCTGCTCTCGAAGGGGCAATGATCAGCTGTCAGGATTGCAGCAACTGTACAGATTTGTAAAATGAGGACCACCTTCTATTCGCAGCCCCTTTTGCGCACTGGCCAGAGCAATAACCGCTGTGCAGAATCTCATTTCTGTTTTCCTTCTGCCACGAGATGGCACCACGATCCCTCCAAGTCCCAGACAGCCCAGCCCTGCACTCCTTAATGGGCTAAAATGCCCTGCCAGCTACAAACCAGTGCTCTCGAAAGGGGGCAGAGCTAAGCCGTGAGGCTTTATGCATCCCCAGTCCAACTGTGGTCACCTGTGAGCAAGGCTGGGAGCAAAGACATATGCACTATTTATTTACCGTTATCCTGGGAGAATCAGATGGTTCACAGGGAATAGGAGTCTTCTTCTTATCATCCAACAGCAGACAAGGATCCATCCCAGGGGTTAACCTGCTCAAACACTTTCTGGGACAATGACTCAACCAACCTCCCTACAGTACTATCAAATCTTTCTGGCCTCCACTCAGCATTTCAGACCAAGGAAGAAGTGAGCTGCTGTAAATGAGAGTCCGATTGTCTTCGGTGATGAAGGGATGGGATGAGGTCCCTCAGAGCACCGGGAACCTGAACAGTGCAGGGTTTGCATCTGATATTCAAACCCAGAAGAATGGAAAGTGTAGGAAGAACATGCCTCAGACATAAAAAGTGCAAGTATCGAGGAGTAATTTATCACATGTACAGCAAGAAATGGGAAAAGAGCAGGGATTCAAGGATGAGACAACACTGGTATCTAATATTGCACTCCAAATGAAGAAATCACACAGAATCACAGAATCACAGAATTTTCTAGGTTGGAAGAGACCTCAAGATCATCGAGTCCAACCTCTGACCTAACACTAACAGTCCCCACTAAACCATATCCCTAAGCTCTACATCTAAACGTCTTTTGAAGACTTCCAGGGATGGTGACTCCACCACCTAAATAACCCCCAGCTGAGAAACATTCTCTCTCAGAAGCTCAGAACGAGGATACTTTCTTACATTGTGTATTTAATGTGTAAAGTGATGGCTCTGTCATTTCCAGCCATCTATCTGGCTGCTATTTTCCAGGTAACCTTACCCACCCGCTCTCCTCTGCTTAGAAAAATATTTGTTCAATAAACATTTTAAGCATAGAGCCAGTACTTGGAAGGCTCTGAGTAAGAAGACACTACTTGTATCTACTGCATACTGATTTCTCCTTTGTGCATCTGTAGGGCTCTGCACAAAACAATTACAGGGATTTTCCTCAGCTCCGAGCCTTGGGCTTATGAGCGTAGCACAGCGCAGGCACACTGTGGTTGGGGTCTCATGGTGAATCCAACTTCAGCCGTTGTGTCCAGCTCTGATTCTTTGACCCCAGACGGAGGCTTAAAAGTAAATTTCTGGATCAAGCCAGTGAAGAAGATGAAGAGCACCACTGTGGCAAGGCCTTCTCCAATGCAGTTTCTCCGCCCTGCAATGCCAAAAGCATTGTTATCTGTAGAGTAGTGGCTCCCCAGACAACTCTTCCCTCCTGGTTGGTAGCAACAGTGTGAGGGACAGAGCAGGCTGTAGGAATGCAAAACAGCATGGGGAGATACTCAGCAGCCACCACCACTGGTCTCCTACACCTATTTGAACACGGCTGTTTCCCTCTGAGCCTGCAAGGAATTGATTTGGGATAACCTAGAAACCATCCAATCTCAAGGGAGAGGGAAGGTAGAACTCTTGCTTGAGGGTGTTGAGGCTTCTGTAGTTCCCAGTGGTGTCTTTGAACCATAGGGCACAGTGTGAGGGGCTGTTTGCAACTCATCGAGACCCAGAGCAGATATTTCTGCACCATTCCCACCAGTGATGTCAGTGCTGTTCCTAACAGAGGCACTCTGTCAGAGGCAATCCTGACTCTTGACTGATGTGTTCTGTGGAGCTCTGGGCGCTCAGAGCCCTGTGCAAGGCCACACTTTTGTTACCTGTGGAGAAGGGCAGGAATGCTTTCTGCTTTACGAAGTTCCCTTCTGAATCAAGGAAATGGTTTGGGTTGAATTCATCTGGCGTCTCCCACTGTGTTTTATCCAGCAGCACAGAGGTGAGCAGAGGAATCACTGTAGTTCCCTGCAGCACAACCACATTCTGCTTAAGGGCTTTGCCCATGCAGCCACATAACCACACCTCCCCATTTGGGCTGCCTCTGCAAGCAAAGTTCCAAAGAACTAGTTTCTAGATTCGTGCATGACCAGATGATGCTAGTTAGTGGAGAAATCCTGTTCACTGGCATCACTGACTAGTATATGATTAAGTAACAGTGGTTGTGTGCTGTTACTGAACGACATTAGCCAGGCTTCCTTCCTGGCCAGATGATCTCTGCTTGCCTCAATTAGGCAATACGACAATGCCACCGTGCTCCAAAGGCAGCACTGCTTTATAGGGCATTAATGACAATGGAGAGAGTTAAGAGAATAGGGAATGGACTCCAGATTATCACGACCGAATGAGAAAACAAACAGAGTAATGGAAAATGAAGAGTTGTGTGCATAACCCTGAAGTCACACTTCCATAAGTTTGGATGCTGAGGAGATGGAGGATTAGGAAACTGGCTCTCCCGCATTGAATGCCCTGTGCCACAAGCTTCCCTCCTTCCTGTGACATTTTGCCCTGTGGGTCACTGGTGTGGTGCATGTGAACCACCCTGCTCTTTGTCCGGAGAGCAGCAAGTACCTTGGGTATGAAGTAGCCTTTAAAATGTGTGTCAGTGGAGGTGCACCGGGGAACGTGTGGCAGGAGGGTGACAAATCTTTGCACTTCGTGAATAACTGCAGTGGTGAAGGGCATTTTTTTCCGGTCCTCAAAGGTAGGCAAGCGGTCAGGGCCAAGAACTCGCTCAATTTCTGCGTGCACCTTTTCTGCAGGGCAAAAGGAAGGCATGAAGTGAGTTTTCCTCAGTGGTAAAGCACCTTCCAAATCCCAGCCCACACTGACTGTTGGCTGAACTACCCCAGGGTGGTGAGAGATGCAGGGCAGGGAGTTTCCCAGCCCCAGGGAGCAGATATGAGAACAAACCCTCAGATCCTTTGGTCCTGAATGGCAGCATGCAAAGTTTGGACAGAGGTGGACAGGCTTCAGGCACTCAGATTTGGGATGCTCTAGCACACGTGGGCAGCTATGACACTTTTACAGGTGAGCAGCATTTATGAAGTCACTGCAGAATACTTTAATACCCTATGTAAGAAAAGCAAAACCATAAAGGTGTCTTACTTTGAATCTCAGGGTACTTCATCATCAGCAGAACAGCCCATTTCAATGTTGTGGACGTTGTCTCAGTGCCAGCCAGGAGCAGGTCAAGTGCAGAGGCCAATACATTTTCATCATAGAAAGGACTATCTTTATTTTTCTCCTGTAGCAAAAATAAAGAAAAAGTCACTGCTGTTAGCATGGAAAACAGAACTAGGATGGTGCTCTCAAACCCAGAGTCATATGATCACAGGATGTGGAAGAGAGCTGGGAACCCGCATGGCTGGGAACCACCTCCAGGCAAACTCATGTTCCAGTTCCATTTGCTGATTCCCAGTCCCGTCACTAGAACTAGTCAGGAT